GCAACCCTACCGTTACGTCCCTCATTCATCCTCCAGGGAGACAGTATTGCTGGCGGGTCCCTGGATCTTCCTGGCATATTTTAGTTTCTGTCCCACACAGTAGGGAGTCAGTTTCCTACTACAACTCCTCCTCCTCCTCCTGCTCTTCATCATCATCATCATCATCATCATCATCATCATCATCATCTTCTTCTTCTTCTTCTTCTTCTTCTTCTTCCTCTTCTTATTCTTATTCTTATTCTTCTTCTGTAGAAGAAGCAACTGTACTTTGCTGAGCTTCAGCCTTACTCATGTCCTCCCGTGGGGTCCAGCTGTTTGGCAGAGTCCTCTTCAAGAATCTGAAAGCGGTTTTGCCGTTCCACTGTCGAAGAGTGTTTCCTTTTTTTTGCTCCTAAAGGCGACCCTTTCCCCAGTTGCCTCCTGCGCACTCGGCGTGCTCTCTCCTCCACATTCTCCTCCACTGCTTTCTCTTGCGGTTCTTCCACCTCCAGTGCTCTCCCACCCCCTTGAGTGCTGCTGCTGCTGCTGAAGAGTTCTGTGTATGCCCTTTCATCTTCTCCTAGAGCCTTAAGCCTGGCCACCTCCCCTCCTGCCAGATGTTCCTGGACTAACACTCCCAGCAGCCTCCACCACAAGCTGTGTTGGCCAGAATTCCCGGGAGTTGCAGTCCAAGAACACACCTGGGGACCCCAGGTTGGGATCTCCTGCTCCAAGCCCAGTCTGCACCACTGGCCAGAAGAGCCAGGGGAAGCTTATCTTCCTTCTCCGTCCATGGTGTTTGGCTCATGGAGCTTTACGCTGTCCTTCACAGATGGCCAGGTCAGGAGCATACGGGTGTACTGCGGGTGAGGGAGTATAGCACAAGTAGAAATGTTTTTGCATTGTACCAGGGAGCCCTGGCATCAGCTGGAATGGGTTGGAGAGGGCAACGGCTTCCTTCCTCCTCTTCTGTCACCTCTTTTTTTCCTTGCATGCCCACGATGCTCGTGGTGGCAGGATGGGCAGAGCTCACTCAGCGCAAAGGTCCAAACTGGTCCCGTGCGGAGGGAGTTTGACATTTGGCCTTTTGGATTGTGGTGGAAATCTTTCGCTTCCCATGTTGCTGCTTTTCTTCACATTCTACACGCATCTTCTCCCCGTTCTTGTTTGGTAATCAGGTCACAAGACTTCCATGTTTTCTTTCCTGCTTTCCCATTTTTGCATGAATTGGAAGCCATTTTTCCCCCTGAATGGGTGTACTAGTTTTGCACCTTTGTAGTTTTGGAAGATTTAGCTGTGTTAGTTTCTGCAAGCATATCTGGCAAAATCCAAAGGGAAAAAAAGAGAGCAAAAATGTGGCACCTTTGTGCAAGCATATCTGGCAAAATCCAAAGGAAAAAAGAGAGACAAAAATGTGGTACCCTAAAGACAGACTTTTCTATTTTAATTATATTATAATTAAAAATGTTTTACTTTTGCCAATTTTACCTCATTTGTGCTGTTTCCCCCACCTGGCTTGAAAAGTGTTTGTGTGTATTTTTAAAAAATTGTGTGAATGACATGTTAGTCATTCCCATTTACAAGGATGTGTCTTCTTTTCTGCACACTCTGTTACTCTGGAATGCTCTTAAAATTTCTCCCGGATGTGCAAATTCATGAGGTGTGTTGCGTCTCTCAGCAAGTCTCAAGAGGTGCAAAAAGGCCTGGTGTATCACAGCTGATGAGGCCAACCCAAGCGTGTGGCTCTGCCTGTTTGGCGTTTCTACTGCCAGCGGCCGCCGTCCTCGTTGGCTTCCTCACTCACTACTTGGGCCTAGGGTGCTCCATCCTGCACTCTTGCCTTGGAAGGGCTGCCACGCTGAAGGACCTTTTGTTGTTGTTTAGTTGTTTAGTCGTGTCCAACTCTTCGTGACCCCATGGACCAGAGCACGCCAGGCCCTCCCGTCTTCCACTGCCTCCCAGAGTTTGGTCAAATTTATGTTGTCAAATTCACTTTGGTGACACTGTCCAGCCATCTCGTCCTCGGTCGTCCCCTTCTCCTCTTGCCTTCACACTTTCCCAACATCAGGGTCTTTTCCAGGGAGTCTTCTCTTCTCATGAGATGGCCGAAGTATTGGAGCCTCAGCTTCAGGATCTGTCCTTCCAGTGAACACTCAGGGTTGATTTCCTTTAGAATTGATAGGTTTGTTCTCCTTGCAGTCCAGGGGACTCTCAAGAGCCTCCTCCAGCACCACAATTCAAAAGCATCAGTTCTTCGGCAGTCAGCCTTCTTTATGGTCCAGCTCTCACTTCCATACATCACAACAGGAAAAACCATATGCGGACCTTTGTCGGCAAGGTGACGTCTCTGCTTTTTAAGGTGCTGTCTAGGTTTGTCATCGCTTTCCTCCCAAGAAGCAGGAGTCTTTTAATTTCATGGCTGCTGTCGCCCTCTGCAGTGATCATGGAGCCCAAGAAAGTAAAATCTGTCACCAGAGTTTTGTTGAAGGACCTGCTCCCCTCCAAACAGGTCCTCGAGGGAAACAGCTGCTTGGTCCACATTTGATTTTTATGATTGTGAAGCACAAAAGGGAAGAGTGGGGGTTTCAACATTGCCTCTCCACACACTGTACGCCTGGGCCATCCAACTTTGCAGCTACACAGGTCTCTTGGTCATAGACTTTTCCACTCCAGTGAGGGACTCCAGAATATGCTTATGTGTTTTTTCATTTAAAGTATTCCCCCCACCTTCTCCTTAAAAAGGACCCATTAAAAGATATGTAGAAGATGAAAGCAGTTATTTAAAAAGCATCAGACAAATACCACCCTAAAAAGGGTAAACAAAACCGACACCAAAACATGTTCAGAGCAACAAGGCTAAAAATCCTCAATCAAGATGGGAAGGCCTATCTGAAGAGACAGGCCTTGGTTCAGTTGCAGAAGGACAGTCAAGAGGGGGTCCCCAGCTGGGCTTCCAGTGGGAGAGAGTTCCACAGTCTCGATGCTGCTTAAAAATTAAGAAAACCATTTCCAGCTTTGCATCTGAGTATATAAGACTCTTCTCTTCAGCAAGGCTTTTTCTCAGTCCCTGGCTGCCTAAGGAGAAGGGGGGGGCTGCCTTTCCCTTCTGCTCTTCCAAGTTTTGTATCTCTGGTTTTAATATCGTAAGCCTCCTTGCGGCAAACGGCCGGGTACAGTATAAATATTTGCCACCAGTCTTGAAGTCAGTGCAGAGAGACGGCCATGCCAGCCAGGGTCCTCTTTTCTTCTCCCCGGCTCCCCTGTCAACAGGCTGCCTCTCTTAAGCCAGCGTCCGTGTGTCACCCTGCAGGTGACGCTCCACCTGCCTCTACGCATCCTGCGCCTGCCTGCTCCGCTCCGCGCCAGTATGAGGAGAAAGGAGCACATGGCCCCCCAGGGGAGCTAATTTCCGCAGATGGTTTCTCGTTTGCTGGGGATGCGTGGCTTGTCATGCTCAGACTTCACTTGCCCAGTTTTTGCAGATGCTTCTGACATGGCGGCCGCGCACAGCGGATCTCTGCCTTATTTAACATGACAGCTTTTTCACTCAGCTAATGGATCTCAAGGTTTTTTTTTTTTTTTGGCCTAACCGCAGGTTCTCCCTTCAGCCATGCATGAGCCACTCACATTAACCTCTGTTAAAAAGCAGGTCTTTCTATTCTTTTCTTTTTCCGGCACACACCTTCATTTTTATCAGGGCAGTATCTTGGAGAGAGCGCAGTTAGGGAATGGGTTACAATGAATGCTAAAGATTTTGTGGAACCTTAAGTTGCTTTCCAGCACCAAGATATTCTGCGTAGAACTGTAACACTACGGCTTGGTGGGTGCCGTTAATTCACCCTCCTGAGACCTGGAAAAAAAAGGATACATATCGGGGTCATTTCTGAGCTCAACCCAGTATGTGGGCGACGTGGCTCTGTGTCACCCCGAACGCACCCAATATCTTGTCGATTTGGGAAGCTAAGCAAGAGTTGTTCCTGGTGAAGACCTAGAAGGATGACCACAGAGATCTCCGGGTAGAGCTAGGAAAGAATTCTGCCCCAAACCCCAGAGACCTGCGGCTGCCAGTCAGAGCCAAAAACATTGCCTACCTTACCCGATGCTCTGATTCAGTATAACTCATCCATCTGAATTTCCCCGCCATTTGTTGGAAGCTGGGGGTGCAGGTGGGGCGACCACTTTGAAAAAAAGGAAAGTGGTTCTGGGTCTCTAACAGATGTGTAAAAGAGGGCACTTCTGCAGGTGTAGCTTGTGAGACAAGGTCCATTAGCCAAAGAACGACCCACCGGCAGAACGAGACTCCTTCTGAGTCGAAGGCTGCTTGTGAGTAGACCTTTCCTTAGACAAGAGGCGGCCTGCAGGTGTGTTCCAGGACTCCGCCTTCCGGGCAAGGTGCCCCAGCTGTTTACCCAAAGGGTAAGGAGGGAGGGGCTTCCTTGAGCTTTGGCCCCCCTCCATGGGGGGGACTTGGTTTGTGAGTGGGTTCTGCCCCATCAAACCCCTTTATGATATTTAGGTGGCTAGCTCTCTCTCTCTATGTGAAGAAACCTCTCCCAGCACATCGATAGAATCGTAGAGCTGGAAGGGGGCCCTCTAAGGCCATCAAGTCCAGCCCCCTGCTCAGGATCCAAGTCAAAGCAGGTCTGACGGAGGGTGGTCCAATTTTCTCCAGTGCTGGAGTGCTCACCGTGAGGTCGTGGCTTCCACTGTCGTACTGCTCTAACAGTTAGGAAGTTTTACATTTTCTATTCCTTCCAACTTTGACGTTATTGTATATGCCATTTTGTTTTAATGCCGTTCCACCTCCTCACCCCCCAAGTTGGGATTTGACTTTCTTTTAGCTGCTTCCTTCTGAACAGTGGTTGCAAAGCCAAACTCTGCCTTTACAAACTGAACACTCCTTTGATCCTGAACGGTATGTCCTTTGGGGCAAACCTCCCTGAAAGGATGTCCAGTCCGGAACGGCAGCCGACAGATGACAATGTTGAACTGACAAGTGAGACCACCTTCTTCTTTTTCAGGATGATACTGAACCGTATTTCATTGGAATATTTTGCTTTGAAGCGGGCATAAAAATCATGGCGCTGGGGTTTGTTTTCCACAAAGGCTCTTATCTTCGAAACGGCTGGAACGTGATGGATTTTGTTGTCGTCCTTACTGGGTAAGTAACTTTTTCTTCTCCCCCCCCCCGTGGCCCTGTGCTCGTGGCCTCTCTCAGTCCCTGTGTGTCTTTAATAAATCGGAGGAGAGATCAGCGCCTCTGTTAGTATGCTTATTCTTATCAGAGAGGTGAAGGAGAGGGTAGGTGGTTAAGGACTTAGAGCAAAGCTGCATTGAAAGACACGTACAGTATGCGTAAAAGAAAAAGCTGTGGTGGAGACTTTTTAGCCTATTTTGTTCAGAAAGGGCTTATGGGCCCCTTTCTCCCTCTCCTTTTGGCGAACAATGGATGGCAAGTTTTTTCTTTTTTGTTTTTATTCCACAAACGCTTTCTTTTGAAAAACCACAGAATGGTTTTAATGCAAGATACGTTTTTAGAAAAAGAGAACATTAAACAATGGGTAGAAAAGGCTGGTGTGATGTTTTGCAGAGAGCAAAGGGGCACGAGATCACGGAAAGCTGGTTAGAAAATCGTCAGTGTACTTATGCATGCGAGTAAATCCGTTCTGAATAAGGTGTTCTTGGTTTTCTCTTAAATCGTTTTGGCTTTATTGTGAATCGAACTCTACCTCCTGCTTATCTGTATCAATGTGTGTTTTTCTAGCTGGAACCGAATAAAAGAGGACATTTTAAAATTAAAGAAAGCATTCCAGAGTTTTGATAGCTGGAGTAATAGAAAACGTGTTTGGTTTTCTGAGGAGAAAGAAATGAGTAATGAGTTTTATAATGCCTGCTTGTTGGCACTTTGGGCTTCTGGAAGTGTGTGTTTGTGAAAAATCATGTGAAGTTACCCATTGCATCTCTTGTAAAATTCGATCAGTGAGGCAAAGTGACTGCATGAAAGAGGTTGTGCTTTCTCCAAAATGCTGGGACTTCCTTTCGAAGAACACAAGGTTGGCTTGCACCCCTGATGTCCTTCTGCCACCCGAAAAAGCGTCCTTTGGAGATGGGTTTTCAGAATGGGATTTTAACTGTATTTTCCTTTAGCTATCTGGTGCATATTTAAAAACAGAGTGTGTTTTAAAGTTTCCTGCCTTTCATTCATGCCAGCCTATACGCTTTGGCCTATGCCTACTGGACTCTCCTTTCTTCCGTCAGAATCATTAATCCCATTTCCTTTTATATCTCTTCCCCGGGTACTCTAAAACTTTGGGCAAATCTCTGCAGCAGGAATTTTGGGGTCGCAGAAGGCTGGAACCCTTCAGCAAACGTTTAAAAAGCTCAGTCGCAACTCTTTGAATCTTCCGTGTATATGATTTTGATGGTGGGTTGGGTGGGGAGAGAGGCTCATGCGTGGGGTACAAGAGAGGTGTGGCTTGCATGTGACGCCAGGGCTGCGTCCCCCCCCTGCTCCCAGATTTTCCCCACTGTGCTTGCCTGGACATGTCACCCACGGCCACGTGGAAATGTAGTTGTCTGGTTGAAATGTTGATCTACCAGGACTTTTTTGTGCCTCGTGGAGAAGGGGTCCTTGGAAGGTGGTGTGTGAAGAACTGTCTCCAGTTGGTGGCCTCCTCCGAAGGTGCCAGCCCCCCCCCAAAGAGGCTGTATGGCCTCTGAAGAAGGGCTGCTGGAGATGGGGGAAAAAGAAGAAAGAAGAGAACCAGAAACTGGGCAGGTGGGGGGGGGGCTTGTTTCCTTCTCCCTCCTTTGGATGACGTTAATTCTTCTTGTTGGTCCTACTGGTGGTTGAGTCCAGATTGTGTAGCATGTTCTTTTCCGAGCGCTGTCACTCTTGTGTGTCTGTGTGTATGGAGGGGATCGGACGTAAAGGCACAATGTTCCCCGCGCGACACGGGCACTTGCCTTGCCAGCTTCTCCTTGCCTCTAGTCTCAAGCGCTGTTTGATCTTCGGGATATAATTGGGCAATAGCAGTTTTGATTAGACATCTGTAATAAAGGCGCCTTGTCGTTGTCATCAGACACGAGCATCCTTTTGAGGTACATGACAGCTCATGTCGCTGGCTTCTGACTTTGCTGGCGATCCTAGCTGGATGGTATTGAACCTGTCTTGTACAGGAGCTTCCCGCCAGGCAGGCAGCAGGAAAAGGCTTTGCATCTCCTCGGTGACATTTCTTCACAGAGGCCCGCTGCAGGGAAGAGGTTGCCGGCTGCTTTCGAGGCTGCCGTTTCGACCCAAGAGTCCAAGCAGGGGGCTTATCCCACGCGCCCTTCCAAAAGATCCGGTGCTAGTATTTGTGCACGTGATGATAATCATGAACCAAGACGGAGTGGTAATTTCAGCCAATTTCTTCTACTGACAGCATCCTGGAGTTTTCAAATGTCTTCACAAATATGCTGGGAAAACGTGAAATCAAAAATATTTGAATGTGGGTGAAAGTAACAAATTTGCTAATCGAGGTTGCTCACCTCATCTGATTTTGAAGACCTGTGTTGATGATGCTGGATTGGTGTTGACACCCTCCCCCCCCTTTCTTTTTTAAATGTTGAGGGGTTGTCTGGAATTACATGCATAGTAGGAAAGTACAACACGATCCTCTCAATGCTGGGAAGGGCTGCACCGCTTTAATTTGGCGGTATAAATGTATAATTACATTTCAGTTTGATTTTTTTTTGAGGAATTACTCAGTATTTGCAGAGTAAATGGAAAGAACTTGAGGTTTAAGATATTTAAATATGGGTAGAAGTGAAGTTAAGGGGCAGAAACAGATGATAGGGTAACTTCAGAACTAAAAGATGATAAGACATTATTTTTCCAAAACTAGTTTTTTTTGGGGGGGGGCAGTGGGGAGCTGCAGAGGTCACATAATCAACTTGCAATGGATGTCTTTGCTGATATTTTCATGAACAGCCACAAAAGCGCATTGATTTATAGCTGGAAAAAGAAAAGAAAAAACAATACAGGAAAAAACCAATGATCTTTAACTTGTAAGGGAGTGCAGCTTCTAATTGTGAAGCTAGCGTCTCCTCTGTTTCTGCCTTGACAGAATCTTCCATTTCACAGCTGGGAGGAATTTCTCGATTTGGCTCAAGATCAAATCAGCAGTTTGCTGAATCTGTCACTAACGTGCTCTGCAGAATTGTGGGCCTTTTGTCAGGTAGCATCTTTTATGTCCTTCTTCATTTCACCTCTCAGGCAAACGGGAAGCCTCTTCTCTGTAGAGGGCCTCTCTGAACTGACGGGTCTCTCAGCGCTTTATTTAGGTCTCTGGCTGCTCCTTGTTGGGGGCGGGCCTCTCTGAACTGACGGGTCTCTCAGCACTTTATTTAGGTCTCTGGATGACCCCGAGGGTCCCTTCCAGCTCTGCTGTTCTGGTTATTAGTTGGTTGGACTGCTTAGCGGTTCGGCCTCTCTGAACTGACGGGTCTCTCAGCACTTTATTTAGGTCTCTGGATGACCCCGAGGGTCCCTTCCAGCTCTGCAGTTCTGGTTATTAGTTGGATGGACTGCTTAGCGGTTCATGTCTCTGGCTGCAGAACCAAAGGTTGGGAATGGGAGTTCGGTTCCCCCACCGGGCCTCCTTGACTGAGGTTGGACTTGATGACCCCGAGGGTCCCTTCCAACTCTGCAGTTGTTGTTTCTAACAAAATAAAAACTGGAATTAAAATTAAAGCCTTGTGTGTGGCCTTGGCAGCTCCATCCTCCCCACCTTCTTCCCCACCTCGCCTGAAAATCCTTTCTCAAGGATCTAAGATTATTATTAGTATCATTATAATTCTCTGAGATTATTTCAAGAAAGGAAACAGTTTTGTGGAAGTCCTTACGTTCAGCGGTCTCATCTTCCTAATACTTCCTTTCTGGGGAGAATTCTTGCCTAGGAGACTAGGTTAGAAAGAGGTCAAGGAGAGAATGGGCTGGAGAAGTTGGATAATGCTTTGAGGGGACATGATTCGTTTTGTTTTCTGCTCTGCTGGTAAGATGCATTCAGTTTTGGTTGCCTTTGGAAGGCAGGGTGGCATTAAACCAATTTTCCCCCAGCTTCTCCAGCTGTGAGCAATAAAAATGGCAAAATGATGTATAGTAGTAAGTCTGCTGCTGAGATAGCATTTAATGCAGGTAGCTCTTAGGGCCCATTTCTTCCCATCCATTTCTCAGCCTCACTTTGAATGCCATTCTGCCTGAATGGCTTCCAAGGTTACTCGACTTCTGGATGAAACCACAGCTTTAATATATATATATACAGACTGAGCATGAGTTGAGAAGCAGGGTGTTCATGAACCAGTCATGGGTGGTGGTTTGAGTGCTGAATTGGGGAGACCCACGACTCACTCACAGCAAAAAAAAGTGCAGCCAATTGCTCTGTTGTTGCACAAAAGTAGTAGAATACGAACCAACCAACCAACAATACAAATGTATATAATAAAGGCCCAGCCTTGTGCTATGTACATGAGTATGCTGCACCACGGAGAAGAATCTGTGAGATTAGCCAAGAGATTGTTAAGACCAGTACTAATTACTGTAACACGCTCTATGTGGGCTGCCTCTGGGAAGTGTCTGGAAATTTCAGCAGGAGCCAGATTGCTAACTGGGGTCGGACATGGATCACACACACACACACACCTGTTTGAGCAGCTCCACTGGCTAGCTACACTCTTTGATCCGTGATCTGGAGAGCCTGTCCAAAAGGCGGCTATGGTTAGCAGTGGCAGAAGCCGCTAAAGACCCAAACGAGTAATTTCCAGGCACAATTCGGAGTGCTGCTTTGTTTGAACCTATAAAGCCCTCGACAGCTTGGTCCCGAGCTGTCTCGAGGACCGCATCTCCCCTTAGGAGCCTGCCCAGGTCTTGAGATCACCAGGGGAGGCCCTTCTCTCGGTCCCATCATCCTCGCAGGTGCTCTTGGTGGGGACATGGCAGAGGGCCTTCTCTGCTGCTGCTGGTGCTGCTCCCAGACTTTGGAACTCCGTCCCATTGGAAGCCAGGCTGAGGCTCCATCTTTGATGTCCTTCCACAAGGAAGCAAAGACAGGCAGGCTTTCCCTTAAAGACTGGCTGCCTGGGTGGGGCTTAATGTAGATGGTTGTGCCTTATTGCTTCAAG